TCACCAGGGGTGGATGCTGATTTCAAGAACTGGAAATGCTAACTATGTGTGGGAAGAAAATTTGCACAGAAAGAACTGAGCGGTGTTGTTCTCCTACCTCAAGGACATCAGGATGACTCTGCCCTCATTTATGTCCAGTAACCCTGCTTCAGTTTCTGCTCAGGCAAGCAAGGCAGTGACTCCATGACAGCTTTCAGGAAGTACGCTAAGCAAAGGTAGTTGCACAGGTTGTAAGTTAGCTTTGTTTTTGGCAACTTTACCATTCAGCAGACCTAATTTTACCATGGGATATCTGAATACAGCAGCATGGAGTTAGGCCATAATTAGATGATAAATAATAATACATAACAATTACAGCACCAAGTATATATTTACATTCAAATCTCTTAACAGTCAGACCCCCATACCTGTAAAAAGCACTTTGCTCCCTAGCCACAGTTTTGGGATTACTAAAGTGTGGGGGAAAGGGTTTCCTGGAGTTATTTAAAAGCTCCCACTGAGCTTCTTTTTAGCAAAAATTTCCCTTATGAAACAGAGGATAAAAATCTTGGTGGTGTTCAGATTCAGCAGAATACAGCGTGTATTCATGTTTGCGTGAAATTATCCCAGAGATGGCATGCTCTACAGTGAATACTATGCTGTGAGAGTTGAACTGTTGACACATGTCTTCTGCAAGACAGATTTATGAATATTATGTAGATAATAAGCAAAAGGATATAGGGATATCCTTTTTTCTATCTTTCATCCAAGAACATACTTCTCAGCATCAAAATTCACAAAAGGATATTCTTTTTTGTGGCTTATTTTTTTACTGAAGTGACATTAGTTCATAACATACAGGTTTCAGGTGTACAGCCTTACACATCAATATCTGTATATACACATTGTGTTCCCCACTAACTCTACCTCCATGCATCACCAAACACTACCCCCTTTCTTCCTTCCTTTCTGGTGAGCACTATTTTGTTCTTATAGTCTAAGGGTTTCCTTCTGTTTTGTTTTGGTGGCTCTTTGGTTTTGTTTCCTCACCTATCACAAGAGTGAATCTCATGGTGTTAGTCTCTCTCTGTATGACTTACTTAACAGTACAATACTCTCTAGGTCATCCAGGATTTCCTCTTTTATCTTATAGCTGAGTATTATACCCCATCTTTTTCATCAATTCATGTGTAAATAGGCACTTGGGTGGTTTCTAGATATTGACTGTTGTGAACAATGCTGCAGTGAACATGGTGGTGCACATCTCTCTCTGAGTGTGTGTTTTTGTATTCCAAAAGGATATTCCTTTGATTTTAATTACACATCATAGCTGAGAGCCCTCCATTCACCCATTCTACATTGTAAGTAGACTTTGATGACGTCACTAATACATTAGAATCTCATGTCAAAGAGCTAAAGTTTGGGATGCCACGGCTGAACTTTCTTTATCTTTACTGCTGTAGGTAAATCTGGGCCCTCATGATTTCTCTTTTGGGGTAATCTCAAAAGAAAATGAGACCCTTATGCACTTAGGGGCATTGCGAGAAGAGATGAAGAGGTTGTGATGAGATGGAAGGCTAATTAGTAGACTATCTTTATTATAATAATTTAAAAAAACCCCACAGTGCACAAGGTAATTCCTCTTTTTCTGGTCCATGCTAAGTAGATTGCTGGTGGAATTCGTTGGTGGGTAGAAAGGAGCTAGGACCTTAGTCCTTAGGCCCCGATGTCCAGACTCCATTAGGGAGGAGTCTGGAAGGCGTGGGTGAGGTGCTTTCTAAAGAGACAGGAGACTGCTTTGTTGTCCCAAAGGTGAAAGGTACAAGGAACATTCAGATGTATTTTCCCTCCCTGCCATATTTACTTGATTAACATGTCACTAAAGAACAAAGGAACAGAGGGGAACAAGGGAGCAGGGATTCTGTTAATTTTTTTTCTGAACAGAACTTAATTTGCACACCATGAAGAAAGAATGATCCTTTTCCTGTGTTTGTGACTCTGTTGAGAGTGTCCTATGCAGAAAATCAATTTCCTTGTTTCAAGTTGGTTTTCCTATTTAATTAGCTTAGAAGCTTAATGGAGACAAACATGATTAAAACACAGTTTGAGAAAGCTTTCAAAATTGTCATTTATAATATGTAATAATATTTCATCAGAGATTTCCCTCTACTCATTATGGTGTGTTTAGATTTTGTTTTCCTTATACCATTGTTTTATTAGATCTTGAAGGTGATTAGTGCAATAGTTATGTGATAATTGGAAACTGACATATTCCCATTATGGTGTAATATATGCAATTATAATATTACTTGGGTTAGAATATTATGTTTGATATGAATCTGTAACTTGGTGTTTTATTTGACTAATCTAGAATTCTTGCATTGAACAATCATTACATATTTGTCAACTCACTTAAAACCATAAAGATCAACTTTAGGAAATCAGTTCTTGTGTCTGCTTAACATTTCTTACCTCTATACTTTTTAGAGTAAGTGATCAAAATCCATCTATCCCTGACAAGAGAGAGAAGGTGACTTAGACAGAAATGTATGTTTGGAATCAGAGTGGGAAGGTCAGAGAAAACTTAAATAATGGAGAAAGATAAAATATTGCATCTTGGGCTTTATTTACTTTATTTAATTTTTCAACATTAAAGATAAATTTTAGGGCCTCCCTGGTGGCACAGCTGTTGAGGCTGGGCTGCGAAGCTGCCCGCAGCCTCTGCAGCGCCAGTTCGATCCCCGGCCGCCCGTGAGGGTCCCACATGGCGCGCAGACCTCTCCTGCTGCGCCCGCTGCTCCCCTCAGCAGTGTATTTCATCAGCCTGCCTGTTCTGTCCCCTGCTCTGGCTCTGGTGAATTCTCTCATCCTCCCGTGCTTCTGACTGTACCCAGTGCTTGTATAAATAATAAATAAATCTTAAAAAAAGATAAATTTTATTTAAAGTTGCTTACATATTTTAAAATTGTAAGGCAGTGAACTTTCTCTTCTCATTGTCCCATAACTTTGGCTACCTCTGCTTTATCTACGTTTTTCAAAGCATAAAGTTATTATGTGCTATATTTTGTTCTATATAGCCATAGATTAGCTTCAGTTCTATAGGCATTTAAGAACCACCAGTCCTTAATACACTTAAAGTACATAGTATAGATACACTACAGTGTGCTTGTTCAATCAGCTATTGATGGACATTTGGGTTATGTTCAGTTTTAGAATGGTGTGAATTATACTGCTGTGAACATTTATATACAAGTCTCTGGACCCATGTTTTAATTTTTCTTAAGTAACTACCTAGAAGTGGGATTGTTAACACTTAATGCTATCTTTTTAATTTTATAATACACTGTCATGTTATTTTCAAATGGGCCTCAACATTTTGCATTCCTCCTAGCAATATATGAGGATTTTAGTTGTTCTACATTCTCACCAGCTTTAGGTATAATCAGTCCTTTTAACTTGTACTGTTCTAGTAGGTATAGCTCATTGTGAGTTTATTTTGCATTGCCCTAATGATTAATGATGTTGAGCATCTTTTCTTGTGTTTATTGGCTATTTTTATATCTTCTTTGTGTTATCTATTGAAATTTTTTGGCCTATTGTTTTGTCGGACTGTTTCTCTTGTTAGTGACTTGTAAGAGCTCTTTGTATATTTTGGATATAAGCTTTCTGTTCAGTTATATGTCTTGCACATATAACTGTGCAACTCTATGACTTGCCTTTTCATTTACTTAAAAACATCAGTTTAAATTTATCACTTTTTTCATTTATGGTTTGTGCTTTTTGTGATTTGTCTGAGAAAACTTTGATTCAGAGTCTCAAAGATTTTCTTTTATGTTTTCTTCTCAAAGTTTAATTTTAACGATTACTTTAGATCTATGGTTATTCAAGACTCAGTTCAAAAATCCTTTCCCCTGTGACTCTTCCAGGAAAAGATTATCAAACCCTCCTTCTGTACTTTCACAGCACCACATGGACAGTTAACCTTAGAATACTTACTCGTAATTTATTTAAATGTTCATTTTCCCCACTAGCCTGTGAGCTTCAGTTCATCGTGATAAGTCTTATTCATTTATGAATACCAAATGCCTGGACCATGCCTAATATACAGTAGGCCCTCAAATAACACTTGTTAAAGGAATGAATATATAAATGAAAGAATGAATTTATAATATTAATTCCACAAGTCATTTTTTTACAAAGCACTTTTGCACTAGCATTTCATTAAAATCTCACAGGAAATCCATGAGGCAGGCATTGTATTACATCCATTTCTATAAAAAATACTATTGGTCCTTCAAAGCCTAATAAATTAGATCAAACTATTTAGCCTGACATTCCAAAGTATCTGTGATATTATTCCCCCAACCTTTCCAGCCTTATTTTCTGCTACTACTTTTCACTTGTTTCATGCAACAATTCAACTAGGCAATTCATTGTTCTTTATGTACTTGATTTTTGCCTCTTACATTCATTGAAGTTGTCTCTTCCATCTTAAAACTTTCTCCATCCCATTTTTGCTTGCAAATATTCTACCCTTCTCAAAATATATCACTTCTTTATAACATCTCATGATCTGAGCAGATAAGTGACCAGGTAACCATGAGTGCTCCTTCATTTACACAACCACAAACCTCCATCTGTCTCATCTTAAGTAAAATAAATGGTGCTTGTCCTTAGTTTTACATTGTTTTTCTCTTAATACCAATCTCTTGGCTGTGGCATGCTCTTATCTGCTCCCTGTTGCTCTTCACTCCACATTCCTTGTCCAGCCTCATATGTGATTAGAGCAGGAGTCATGAGATCTGGAGTCTAACTCTAGGGCTGTCAGCCTCTGGTCCTTAATTGTCTCCTTTGTGTAGGAGATCTAGTCCTGCCTGCCCTTGAAGGATGCTCTGAAAATTAAATGATATACTGGGTGGGAATGCCACTTGTAAATTTACCAGACCCTACAAATAGAAACTATTATAACCATTATTGAAGCCAAACTTCAGTTTGAATCCATGTATTTTCCAATCCCACAGTTGAAGACAAATGTGTTTGGGAGAACTGTTTCCGGGCAGGTGTGTTTTTGGCATTTCCTCAAAGTTGCCCTTGATTCCTGAGTCTCCCGGTGGCCAAGGTGAGCCCTGAGCACCACTGTGTTCCCCCGCATTTGACTGTGTTTTTAATTAGACACGTTTGGATTCCTCTGTGTGATAACCAACATGTGTTCATGCTTCCTCACGTCAGGTTTGGTACAGCTGCTGAGAAGGGGATTGCTGACTTATTTTGCCTGAGTTACTCAGCGATATGCAGTTTGTGGAAACTTGGCCTACAAGTGACCGTGGCTGTCTTTACAAGGTCCAGGGCTACAGGTGGCAGGAACGGAAAGCAAAAGCCACAGTATGGTCACTTCCTGCTCTGCCTCCTCGGGCGAAGCCAGAAGGTTGTCCCCTCTGGGCTGCCCACCCTCCTCTGCAACGGACTGTCTCCACCTTTGTTGAACTTTCCCATCCAACTTAGCCCCCCAGTCCTCTCTGTCACATGTCTGCCTGCACAGTCCAGTCATCCTATCCTCAGCCCTCTGGGTTGGCCTGAGACAGAACCCGGCTGCCCAGCTTGTTTACTGTCCCAACTTCCTCTCATGGGGAAGAACAAATTAGGTATTTATTGACACAAGGAGAGGCTGTGGCTAAAAGCACAACATGTGGTGCAAGATTTTCTGAATTCAGATCTCAGCTCATGCCCTTTCTGAGAGTTACAGATTATTGAACTCTTGCCTTAGTTTATAAAATTGTAAACCAGGTTACTGAGAGCCCCACCGCATTTGTTGCTTGACGCAATACATTATGTTACAGGAATAAGTGAGTTAATTGCGCTGCCCCAGAATCAAGTAGGCAGGTGCTACAAGCACAGTACACCAAGGAAACCCACAGCAGAAGCACAGAGCACATGGCTCCACTCTTGACTGTCTAGGTTCTAATCCTGGTTCTGCCATATACTGACCATGGAGTCTAAATCTAGGTAATTAATCTCTTTAGGTTTGAATTTCTTCATTTATAATAATAGTAGATTCACTATATAGGGTTGTGTTAAACATTAAATAACATTATATGTATAAATCACACTTAACACAATGCTTGGCACATAATAAGCATGCAATTGAATTAGTTATTTTTATAGGTTACTAGAACCTCCTTTGCACTGTCCAGTTGTTCCCAGTTACTCCAGAAGGTTGATTCTAGTGGTGTAGTCTTAAAGTCAGATTGGAAGGTGGAGGAGCTATTTTTACTTAGAATAGATATTTGATACTTCTCAACTCATGGAATCAATGGAGGTAGTACAAGGAAGACCAGCAAGGGAACAGGCAAGCAAATGGGCAGTTTTCATTTTCTCAGCAAATAAAAGCTGTTATTTTTCAAAACACATCTATCTCACTCTGCGAAAGCCAGTCTCTAATATTGTACCAAGTCTAGCGAGCCCCAAGTGGATTCTTCCAAAAGCTGTGATGAGATCTTGTCCTAGTCTTCCCCTTAGGGTAATTACAAAGAGGCAAGATAATGGATGGAGAGCTGTGTTTTGTTGGGAGAGGTTCAAAGTATTTTGCTTAGAAAAATGACTCTGCCATTTTGCACACATATTTGTGTGTCTAATTATGTATTCAAAGAAGTAATGAACAAAATTAGACTTCAGCTCATTTCTCCATATTTTTTGTCAGTTTTCTTTTACTAAAAGCATAACTTAATTCCCCTCCGAGAGGGAGAGACTGGAAAATATAACTCTAATAAGAACATGAAACACACACAGCTATCAACAATAGAGAAGACAGAAATGAAGGCACCGATTAGAGGCTCATATTTTCTCTTGCAAGACAAGGAAGAATATTCATTAGACACTTTGATCTGTAGGGAAAGAAGCTCTGTCTAAAATCAAGGAAATTATACCCCCTCCACTTTGCAATTATTGTCTGTCTACCCAAGCTGAGTAATCAGACCATGGGCAGAGCCAGCATGAAATTTGCTGCTTCCCTTTACTTGCCTATGTCTTTATTATGGATCATGGAAGTTATATCAGCTGTATAAAATAAATACTTCTCATTAATGTCCATAGATAAAAATTGTCCAGGTCATTTTTATTTATGCCACCTTCAAAATTCTTCATATGAAGGTGAGGTCTTATGCATTAATGTGTTTTCAGAGATTGAGCAGTGAACACTGTTTAAAATACCCATTAAAATGCCATGATTATTACTAGAAGCTAGCACTAGAAAGGTACAGGAAAAATAAACAAGAAGTTGCTTTTATCATACTATAGAGCCAAAGCCAGTAGTGAACTGAATTATCTTTTCTCATTTTTTCCTTCCCCTCAAATTGGAATTTAACTTGACAAGAAAGATGTTTAAAAGTAGAGTAGTACTTTCAACATTTAGAACCACTCATGTAAGTAGGAAATAAGTTATTGTTTGGTAGACCAAGGAGCCCTGCACACACGCGTGCGCATGTGTGTGTGTGATACATACAAATTAAGAGATGTAAAGTCCAAGGAAACACTGTAAGTTAGGAAATAAATTTTGCTGTCTTGATGACCTGGACTTTTCCTTTTGAGATTTTGGCTATAGAAAGGCCATACTTTTTTTTTTTTTTTTATAATACTTGAACTAGGTTTTGAGTACATATTTCTTTCATAAAGAATTCTCTTTTTTAAAAATAAAGCTTGAAATATTCTTTGAAAGAGGGATCTTTCAAAATAACTAGATTATCTTAAAAATTAAAAGCCATGACCCTCAATTTCTCTATTCCTAAAAAAATACACTTTATTTCTTTATTTGATTATCCTGCTAATGTGTCTAAACTCCAGTTTTCTGTCAAACAAAGCAGAAGGTGTGTGCTCTGGTGAGGAGAGGACTATGGAAATCAGAAAGATGAGTATCATTTTGGGCACTGTCGTGAGGGATCTCTCTGAAAAACACCTGTCCTAAGAACTAGAAGCAGAAGGAGGGGGGCCAAGGAGTCCAGGAGTGTAGAGAAAATCCAGCCAGCTGGGTGGCACACTCGAGGGAGAGAGGCAGAGGGGCAGGCGGCACCAGGAGGGGCCTGCAGAGCCACTCCCAGGACCGCTGCGCCCGGCTTCCTGCTTCAGCCCTGTGTTATGCACACAGGCCTCACCCTTTCTCTTTTTCTTCCAAGATTCCTGACTCTATCTATTATACTTTCTTGTGAATATGGGAATTATTTAATATTTTTTATCACCTCTTCCACCTTCCCCTTTTCTAGCACCTTGTGATGCTTATCTATATATTACTATAGTGACGGACTTTGTGACAATGACGCATGACAGCAGCATGTTCTCATTCCATGCATGGAGCTGTCATGGCACTCCTGTCTTTGACCATATTGATGTAGGAACAGGAGAGCCCCCCCCCCAAGGCATAGAAGAAAAGGAAGCCCAAAAAAAAAAAAATGCTATCCCCGGTATGATTCAAATTTTAGGAAATGACTGTCAAGCCCAGTACCTGTTGAACTTTCTTACATACCTGTTGGCAGACCCAGTATTTTTGTCCTTGTTCCAATTGCATTGTGTGATTATTATCAACCTGGTCAGAGGGCACCTCCTCTTCTTCAGATGATACCATGATCTCCAATGACCTGAGCTGATCTTGTGGGTGTTTCTCAGTCCTTTTCATTTTCTTTACCCAATCCTCACCTATTGCTTGGTCATTGAAAAGAATGCAATGAGTAGAAACCAGGTGTACTGGTTTTCTGTTGCTGCCCACCACATTAACGCAAATTAGTGGCTTCAAAGGGCACCCATTTCTGTAGGTTGGAATCCGGCTTAAGATGGCTGGGATCTGTGCTTAGGTTCTCACAAGAATGGAGTCAAGGTGTCGGCCAGCTGTGTTCTCATCTGGAGCTTGGAGTCCTCTTCTAAACTCATTCCTATTATTGGCAGAATCCAATTTCTTGTAGTTAGGGGACTGAGGAGAATGTTCCCTGATTGCTCTCAGCCAGGGGCCTTTCTTAGCTCCTAGAGACCGCCCAAGCTCCTTCTCTGGTGCCTTCCTCTATCTTCAAGCCAAAATTAAATTTCCCTTGTGCTTTCAATCTCTCTGATTCCCTCTTCTGCTACCAGCCAGAGAGAGCTTTCTGCTTTCAGGCCTCATGTGCTTAGATCCGGGCTACCTAGACCATTTCCCTGTGTGAGGGTCAGCTGTGCCACATAACATAACACAGTCACAGAAGTGGTCTCTCATCACACAGCTTCTGGGAGGAAGGAGAATGGAATCTTGGTGGGGAAGGACAGTTGTAGAATTCTGCCTCTCACAGCAGGTCAATAAACTTATTAAAAAGTCTTTCCTTTGAGCTAAATAATTCTCAAGGATCGTTTTCTTGAAATCCATGGAATAGAAAGTATTTTTTTTTAACCCAAGCAAAATAAAAATTGACATATTAATAGCAGTAAATCCAGGTAGTCATAACTTGATGAATTCTGTAAAAAATCATGACTAAGTGCAAATCATTGGGCAGTCTTAGGTGAGCATTTATGGGAAACTAACATCCTTGTGGCTTCTATAATAAAGGATGTGATTCCCTTCCGAATCTGAGTCAGCATGGAAGGACAGTCAGTCAACACTGTCCTCTGTCCTCGTTGCATCAAATGGCTGAGAGCTCAGTGACTGAATGGACATACCCGGTTGTTCCTTGAAATGCCTCTTTCCTGAAAAATTGTTTCTGACATGCCACTGGCACATACAAAGGGGTGGAGATGAAGACTTATTTTTTTTCTAGTGTTAGGAAGAGCAGATTCTCATTAGTGGAAGAATTGCCCGGCACCTAGGCCAGACAGATGGGCTTAATAAGAGAAAAAGCCTATGATCCCCTTTAAGCAACTGGCAGAGGAGGAGCTCTTACTCAGGCAGTTTCTGTCCTGCCACATTTGACTTGTACTCCCTCACTGCTTGCATGCCCTTGAATGCATAGCCTTTATAGGAGTGCATTATAGATTTTTACAAAATGATTCTTGAGGAACCCAAGTTTCCATTTTATTATAGCACTCCTGTGTCTTGCGCTTCCTGAAAAGCTAGCTGGTCTTTTTTCCCCTAAATCTTTCAGTTCTTAGAGCCAGACTGAATGATTTCACAAGTCATGAATATGTATAATTTGGCCATGGACCTCCTTACTCATACACTAGTGAGCCATTAGGCATATGCTGGGTCCTCAGAGCCAAATGAACCAGAAAGGACATTTTCAATAGGCTTCGGCAATCATTTCAGTGGTCATTTCACCCTGCTAGTTCTGGAGATTCAAATTCAATCTCCCGGTTTTTATTTGGGTGGTCCAGATACACATGTGAATACCTCCCTAATTCATTGGATGATGTTCTAGCTCTTGATGTAATAGACACAACTTAGGCAACTCAAGTAATGTTATCAGTAACTGGGACTTACTGAGGGCTTGCTGTGTTCTCCACATATTCTAAGAGCTTTCTAAAGACTAACACCAAGGGTCTCCACAGTGTTATAAGGCATGTCCTGGCAAGATCCCCATTATACAGATGAGACTATCAGAGGCATATAAATGCAGCCAATATCATCTGTCTTGAATTCAGACAGTCTGTGCTCTGCACCACAAAAGTGTATGGGACTTTATCTCACTTCTGACAATGCATACAGGATAGCAGTCCTTCCATGCAGAATTCTGCCCTTG